TTTTTTTTTTTGTATTTATTTTCTAGTTTTCAAATAAAAATATTTAAGAAAGACCTCCATGGACTAGCCCGTGTATTTTGCGAGCCTCGACACCAGGCTCACCTCAGATGTGCGGGTCGAGCTCCAAGAACTCGGCCTTTACACCACTAGCTATTTTACATTTGCATAATAAACTAGTAATAGTAACACATTATTCCTTTATCAAGACTTAATTTTTTTGCGAATATGTTGATGCAACTTCTCATCTGGCTAGCAATCACAAATTGTTTAGCATTATTGGGTTGTACAAAAGACTGTAATGGTGGTATGATGAGATCATCAAGGATATATTCATATTCAAGAAAAAGCATTTGAACATGTAGAAGATAGAATATGGAAGAAACAAGACCTCATGTTAAAGGAACATACTTTTTGTGATGCAAAGAACCTATTTTCCCGTTGAATCTTAAATCAATCAGAAGGAGAGAGGATGTGTAGGACCAACTGGCCGTAGGCACAAGTTTGATTATCTTAGTATTGGACTGTGACACTACAGTACACAATGACAACAGAATTTTAACTTATTTTTCTTCTTTAATCTCGTGCAGTGATTACCAGTATTGCGTACTTACCAGACCCTTACCAAAGGTGATTAAACCAGACGAGCTCTGCATCATGAACTTTCTACTGCTCATGTTGTTTAGATGGGGTTCTGAAAATACGTACGTGAAAAATGAGAAATACGAGAAAATACAATCTGAAAATGAACATTCATTCAATTATCAAATCACGTAAGTTCAAAATTTTTATTCCAAAGCATGTTGATGCACTTATCTGGATAGAACAGAATCTTCACACATTTATCCTTTTTATGTGGCATGAGCGAATATGAACAAACCTATTGTTACTGTCAATTTTACTTTATGCACAATGCAGCCACAAGTCATGAACAGTTGCGCAAAAAGATTCTTGAAGCTGCCCCAAATTTACTGAGAAAATGCTTAGCCCCTGTTTGGTATTTTTTTGAGAATAGATTTTGTGAAAAGTGATTTTTTTTTTAAGACGTATTGTCAACAAATAGGAAAAATTTATGGCTATATGTGCAAAATTATTTTATTAAAAGAATTTATAGTTAAAAATGAGTTTATTATTATTATTATTGCTGCTGCGGCGCTGCCTGCAGCCGCAAGCAACTGGCTTGAGTTCGTCTGATGCTCTTTTAAACAAAATTTGTGCAGAAACACAAATAGAAAGCTGCGCAGTTACTTGATATTCTGCTGTCATAATTTTAAGTAGAAGACAAATTCTTTAGACTACATGTAGGACTACTTATAAATCTCAACGAAATGCCGGTTAACATGTTAGTATTTTTTGACGTCGAAAATCTTCATGGGACCTTTGATCGACAACAAGAGCCCAGAACAGTTCACTGTCTGCACAAGAACACGCCTCAAACTTCTCAGCCACTGGAATAGAGGGGAGTAGTCGAAGAAGATACTTCTCGTTACTAAAATGATACCGTGTTTTAGAGAAATGAATTCGATAGTTTTGGCTAGATATTAGGCATTGTTGTTTGGACTTGCATGACAACAACCTAGCTCTTGGTGGCATGATCAAAGTTTTATTCAAATATTAAGATCTTATACAAAGAGAAGAAGACAGGGAAAAACAGAAAGTCTGCACTGAAATTGCTTGTCAATGTAACTAAATTAGAGTACAAAGACAGGCTCTCCATATATCGACAAGCTACATATAGTATACGTACTACGTATTAAAACTGCTCCTCGGAAAGAGAAAAGGAAGAAAATGTTGCGAAAACCATGTTTTGGTTGGCCTTATTTTATGTAGTTCAAAACATGGTTTTCCGTTCCTTGTGATTAAAGCCATATAGCTCCAGCATCTTTCAGCAACATCTTAAGTGAGCCATCAACATGACGAGTCATGACAGTATCAGCAGAGCCGACCAATTTTCCTCCGATGAACACAGCCGGGACAGCAGGGCTGCACCCTAGCCTCATTAGGGCCCATTCCATTTCTTTTCCTCTCGAGTCCTCGTCGATCTCGTGGATCATAGGACTCACACCTTGCTCATAAAACAATCTTTTGATAGCATGGCACATGCAACATGTACTCTTACTAAAGATCACCACTGCTTTTTGTGAAGACAGTTTCGCTAAACGATCCATCAAATGCCACTAAAACTATCAGCGGAGAGGAAATGTGGCACGAGTAGTTTAACCAGGATCCAATGAAGTTGTTAAAGGAGGTGCTAATTTGATGGAAAATACAAGATTTTGTTGAACAATTTCAACGAAGATTATTTGTATTAGACTTGGTTTGTGGTATGGTATGGTATGGTTCATCTCCTAGTATTTATATTGGCAAGTGAGGTGTTGGATTTACTTATTAGAACTGTTCTTTAAAATTTCCATTAAAAAATGAAGATTCTTGCAAGCTTTAAGGCTATTCAGATAAATCAGACAAAACTTAAAAGCATATTCACTTATAGCATGATACTGTAACCTGATTTTCATCTTCTTTCTTCCGTATGGATGTGATTTGTATACGTGCTATCTTGTAAATGCATGAGCGGCCACGTGGGGAATGTCAACTATGGTAAATGAGAATCCGATAGTTCTAGATAGAGAAGATGTGGGAAAACTTGCGTCACTCCCCTTTCTCGGTAGGACCACCCCGACCTGTGATTTTCAATGAGCGTTTCTTCGTTTTTAGAGGAAAACACAGCTAAAATGCTTTGTGACATTGCAGCAAAGCAATCAATTTTTACTTGGATTTATTAATACTTGGTTTCCGTCTTAAAATGTTAATCTTATTAAGAAAAATAATTCAAACATTTATATGTTGGTCTATGTTTTCATATTTATTCAATGTGCGATTTTATCCCTTAACATGTCCTCAAAAGATGGTAGTTCATTTGATCAAATAAATTTTGAAAATTCGCATACTCATTTTTTAAAGTCTTAATCGGATTGATTTTCTCATTGACGTTTAATGGGTTTTGATATCATATTAAGACTTGTGTTTCATATTAAAATATCAACTTTATTAAGAGAAATAATCCAAACACTTATAAACTGATCTATGTTTTCATCTTTATTCGATATTAGATGTTATTTAACATGATTGAACAACAAATCATACAGGCAAGTTTATTTGGCTTTCAACCTCATCGGAGAAAAATCTACAAACTTTGAGCACCTAACTTTCTTTTTCTTCCCTTTTTTGGATACAATTGTGCTACACAAACATGTTCAAAGACAAGGTTCAAAAAAAGGGGGGGACACGTGTCGATATATGATTGGACAGTTTGAAAAAAAAAAAACCCAAACAGGTGATGGCAAGTCAATCTATCCATCTTTTTCCTGTGTTTAAGTCTGTTCAATTATCATTATTCTTTTGGTTATAACACCATCAAAGCATAGGTGAGCTTTTTAGGCCTCCACCTAGGCCCAAGTTGGGGGATTGGGTGGGTGGGTTTGAAGAGTACCCAATTAATGTTGTTATCTGTTAAAAGTTCAAGGTAGTAATCGATACTTGGAGGTCAGGTCTAACCCAATGATACCTTGTCACTATAGAAATCACGTCAAAATGAACCAACAGTTGAAATTCGCTTTGGAAGAGTTTAGTGCAAGGAGTAATTTCAGGTTTGGTAAATCATCATCTTCGGGGAATAAAATTCCGCAACAGGCTTCTAGTTCTGTGAATATGGAATCTAACGAGGTAAGTAAGACAAACGAGGTGGAATGTGGGGAAAAGGAAGATAAGCAACAAGCTAGTGAACATTCTAACCCAGGTACAGTGCATAGAGATGCAGCTAGAGACTGTGCTATGGACTATGTGAGTGACATGTGGCTTGAGAATCTAGAGGATGACCAATCTTCCAAACTAGCAATTTCTACGCTAAGGGAAATGCAAATAGCTATATTCCTGCTTCGAGGGTCTAATGATGGATGTGTGGGGGATGCTCATGGATATGTACACAGTGAAGATATTGCTGAGGGATACGATTCCAAGGATGGGATATATACCTACTCTAACGTACTCCGAAGACGACGGTGACAATAACTAAAGACCCTTTAGCATGACTTTTGAAAAGTCAAAATGAGTTTTTAAGACCCCAAAAACTGTTTTTGGATTCGTTTGACTAATTTTATGAAAGTGCTTCTGACAATTAGAAGAGTTTTTAGAAAAACTAGTCCAAAGTGACTTCCTCTAAAAACATTTCTGGAATAAGAAGTGATTTTAAAAACTAGTTTCTAAACAAAAATGAAGGTGGCTTATTTCAAAAGTCGTTAAACAGGAAGTAAAAGCAAAAGCAAAAATCATGTCAAACCGGAGTAGCCAAAAAAATACCTAACTCGACGTATGATGATGCACAGTATGAGGGCACATGAAATATAATCTAATCTAATTTAAGGTGTGTTTGAACCCCACTTTTTAAAAGAATAAGTTTTGCAATAGTGAATTTTTTTTTTTTAAATGTGTGGTTAAAAAGTAAATATAACTTTTAGATTTACGTGTAAAATTATTTTATTAGAAGAATGTGTCATTGAAAATGAGTTTGGGGGGAAATGAGTTTTTTATAGAATTGAGGTCAAACGGGGGCTTAACTTTGTTTTTCATTGTGTGGAGGTTAGACGGTAAACCCCTCCCAAGCTCATATTTGTTTTATTTTTTTTTAATAATAAATATTCCACCTTCGTGATGGTTTGATTAAAAAAAAATGGAGCGTTTATGAAGCTCAAGTAATTGAACAATCACTAGGATCTTGTATCCCTTACATTCTTCCATCTTAATGTCAATTCATAATTTGACGACATTTATTTGGATATGAAGATTAATGTTCTTATCTTGTTCTAATAATCTCTCCCGAGTAAAACTAAACATGTTCTCACATAATATCTCAATTGCGAACATTTGAAGATATATTAAATCACAACATCGGTTTGGATCATGTAAAGCATAGATAATTATTCGTAACATCTGTAGGACCGAGTATAAATAGAAATCACATGTCTCATCAATTAGTGGCCGCAATCCACATCGATGTAATGAAAGTGAAGGACCCACAGCAATGACAGCACAACCTGAATAACCAACTTGTTTTTCCAGCAGAGTCTCATGAAATCTTCCCTCTTTGGCTTAAATATCGGTTGTAGTCCTCTTAACATATCAAGTCAAGAGGGCGAGGAACCTAGCAATAGAAGGGCAGATCATGAACGCCACAAGTGTGGGAGTGATCCTAGTCAGGGAGGGCCAAGACACTAGCCAAACAAACATCTAGTGACAAAATATAGAATTAATAAGAAGACTTCAAGACATAGATTTGAACATTATCCTAGTATCTATAAAATTAGTCAAACATATAATTACAATAACACAAATTAAATAGATACAATGTTACCCAAAATTGAAGTTTGGAAAGAAAGATGGAAAATATTCTTGAATATTGAATTCCTTCAATGGTTCTTGATTTCTTTCCTTGATATCTCCTTCTTCTTCAAATTCAAGCAATATTATATTAAAATATATGGAAGGGGTGTTTTGTACCAAAAGCTTCTTCTAAGCTTTGCAAGAAATATGAATATGCTAATCTTCAATGCTCTTATTCTCTATTAAGTGGAATATAAATGGAAGAGCCTCCTAGCTTCCTCCCTCTTGAATTGTAGATGAAGAGTTGTATTTATAGGATAAGAACTAGATCAAATTTTGTGCTCCAATTTCTTTTCAAGAAGATGTTGAATCAACATAATGTCCCATACAGGGGCGAATCCAGGAATTAGACCCAGCACGGGCGGAGACCGTTGACCGATAAACGTTGACAATCAACGATCGTAATCGCCGAAACTATAATTCGATACATATATAAATGCACTAAAATTTAAAAAGTATATACATATGAAAATATATTTCAATACAACCCAAAATTGATTAAAAACAATGTACACATAGACATGGTTAATGGTTTAATTGAGTCAAACATTTTCACGCCGAAGACTCTTCCCTTATGACTTATCCCTAAATCCTAATTTCCTAAAACCCTAAATTCTCAAATCACAATTCACAAACACAATTCAAAATTATAAGTCATAACTCATAGTTAATATAAATTTTCATTTCTCATAATTCACAAATTAACAAAAACTGAAGAAAAAAAAGAAGGGTTTATCAGGATGTACCGAAGGGGGGTTGACCGAATGGTGTCCCCCCACCCCCCCCAAATGCGACAGGCCCCATGTTTTTAAAAAAATGCGGCTCGTGGTCCCCACTTCCAAATGTGAGTGGGGTGTAAAAGATTAGGTAAAAAATTATGTACATGTAGCATAACCCAAACAAGAATACAAAAACAGAAATATACAGTCCAAGAGCTGCACCCATCCATAAATTCTCATTTACTCATTTATCATAATTCATTAATAGCAAATAGGAAATTGGAAAATTCAAATGCATTCACGGTTTGTATATGGTGCAATATCTTCAAAATACTGTAAATTGAGTCAAAATTTAAAACTTTATTTGCTATAGATTGTAAAGATAAGGGAAATGTCTGTATATTTACAGTGGTGCAACCAAGAATTATCTTGAAGAAAATTATAAGCATAATAAGTTACTTCATAAATAATTACGGGTAGAAGCCGCAGAACCACTCATACATGAATGGGAGTTTTAGATGCTTTCTTTTTATAATTTTCACACTGAAACATTCTTTGCATCACACGTTCTAATTAAGAGTATTTCTAAGACTCAAAGGTGCGGACAAGGCGAAAGCTCCGCTGCTCCAACCTCTACTCACCACAGGTTCACAGCCCAGCCTCCACAGTCCACTCCAGCCCAAAAACTCACAATCACAACTCCACTCTCCAGCCACCACACTAGTCGGCAGCCTCCATCGTCCTCCTCAGTCCTCAAAATAATTTCGCCCAAATTAATTTCACCAACAATCGCGACGTCGCCCACTGCCCAGAAGAAATGAGAAATGAATTGGAAATTAGATTGGAGTCATTGGACCGATTCCTTTTATTTGGTTTTGTTAAATGGATAGCAAAACCGGCCATGGATTGGGTTTAAAAATTAGGTCTTTCTTTTTTTTTTTTTTTAATTAGGCCCGAAAATTTTGAAAACTCCAGCCCAGCAGCAGTACCTCCTCCTCCGTCTGTTCTTCATCTTCTTCCCGGCTCCCAGCCCCGGCCCGACGATCATCTGAAGTTTTCGAATGACCCAGCACGGGCGGCCGCGAGGGCTGGTCAGGTGCTAGGACCGCCCTTGGTCCCATATAATCATGCTATCGCATGGTACAAATCCTTATGATCGAATGGTTATAAACTAAAACATTTTGGTCATTGATATTAACTCTTTGCGATCGCAAGGTATAAACCCATACTATTGCAATGAATTAAATGTTCATCTTCCTCATTCAATCCAGTTGATCCCCAGTACAATCATTTTCGTATGACCTCGGTCCTTTCTCATCATAAACTTCAATTTTGAAGCCGAAGCTTCCAAAATATTCCAGATTGGTCCTTGAAACTTCATAATCATTCAAAATTGTTCCGTCTCAAGTTCTAAAAGTTTGCAATGTGACAAGTGTATTTTAATTAGTATTCGATGAAGTTGAAAAAATGGGTGCTAATTTGATGGAAGATGCAAGATTTTCTTGAACAAAATTATAAAGATTATTTGTATTACACTTAGTTTGTGATATATGGTTTCATCACCTTGTGTTTATAGAGGCAAGTGAAGGTATTGAATTACTTACAATAATTGTTATTTTAAAGTTTATACTAAAAGAATGATTAAAAAGGCTGGAGATTCTTTAAGATTTTGGGATATATGCAAAAACAAATGACCTCTTGTTTGAAATGGCCTGGAATCTTTAAGGCTTTTCAGATAAATCTGACACTACTTGAAGCATGTACACTCATAGCATGATCTGGTAACCTGAATTTCATCATTTTTTCGTATGGACAAAATTTTTATGAATTATTCTACATGTACAGAAAAGTAGAGCTCAATTTTTATACACGCTACCTTGTAAATTTAAGAGGGGTGCATAGGGAATGTCAACTATGATAGATGAGAATCTGAGAATTTTAGATAGAGAAAGATGTGAGTGAATTGCGTCACTCCCTTGCATTTCTAGGTTGGACCACTCCGACCAGTTATTTTAGACAAGTCTTTCTTGGAAAACTTGGCAAAAATGATCCATGACATTGCAGCAAAGCGATCGATTTGTACTTGGATTGAACAATAATCATAGAGGCGTGTTTATTTGGATTTCAACCTCATCATAGAAAAAGCTACAGATTTTGAGTAGTAGACATTTTTTCTCTCTTTGTTTAAAACACCATCAAAGCCTAGGCTAGATTTTGAAGCCTCCAACTAGACCCAATTTTTTTTTTTTTAGGTTGGGGCGGGAGGGGGGTGGGGTTGGAGAGAACCTTTGATGATTATTATCTGTTAAACATTCGAGTTAGTAGTCATTAATCAGAGGTCAGGTCTTTTTTCTTGCTCATAAGTAAAAAAAAAAGTTATATATTTTGCATTAAGGTAGGAGTTTCTTCAAACTAACATATTTTCAAGATCGATCAAAAGAAAAAAGTTCAACGGATGAACTCCAATGTATGTCCATTCGGCACAACCTCCATCAAAACTGAACAAATTCAGATGTTCCTAATGCTCATAACATGTGTTGGAGTAAGGTTGTTGAGTTTGATGTGTTACCAATTTTTTATAAACGACAAAAGGAGAATCATGAGTAAAGAATACTTTCCAAATTGAAAATATAGCATGGGCGAGATTGCATTTTCCCATCCATGTCTTCTACCTAATAAGTGTCAGGTCGTAGCTTTTCTCTGATGCGATACGGTCCTTCCCAGTTTGGTCCTAACGTGCCTACTCCTGGCTCTTTCGAGAACGGGAAAACTCTCTAAAGCATTAGGTCGCGTTGTTGTAAACAGATCGTCTTCCTGGGATTCATCCCTCCTTTCATCGAGGAAATCGAGCTCACATCTTCTCAACTCGTCGTTGATATTTTATTGAATTGCAATCGACGGGAAGAAGGTAACTCGACTTTCACTGGGCTCATTGCTTTTGTACCGTAAGCCATTAAGAACGGGTTTCTCCAGCTGGGGTCCGGCTTGTAGTCCAGATTGCTCACAATATTTGTGGCAGTTCATTGACCCATGCTCCCTTGGAGGCACAAGTTTTCTTTTCAAAATATATTTGATGGTTTTGTTTACGGTCTCTACTTCTCTATTTGCTTGGGAATGGTGAGGTGTCGAAAAATGTTTATTGATTCTAAGCTCCTCACACTGTCTCTGACTTTTTGTTATCAAACTGACGCTCGTTATCTAAGACAATTGAATGGGAGAATTTCGAATCGGCATATTATATTCTTCCACAAGAATTTGGAAGTGTTGGCTTCCGTAATTCTGGCCAAAGGTTCGACTTCAACTCATTTTGTGAAGTAATCGATGATGACGATAGCAAAACTTGCACTACTTCTACCCTTGGGCAAATGGCCTATAAGGTCGATCCTCCATTTGGCAAATGGCCATGAGCTAGATACCGTTGTTAGTTCGTGGGAGGGTTATCTCTAGATAGAAAAGAAATGTTGACATTTATCGCACTTTCGCACAAATTGGATTGCATCTTTTTCAAAATGGGCCAATAATACCCATGCCGTAGTGCCTTTTGTGCCAACTCAAGTCCTCCAGCGTGATTTCCGCAAACTCCCTCATGAATTTCGCGGAATATGTAGGTGGCTTTCTCCTTTGTGACACATCGAAGGAGAGGTAAGGAAAAAAAAATTTGTCGAGCACATCATCCTAGAATACAAAGTGGGCTGCCATTCTCCTAAGTTCGTAAACTTATTCTTTGTGCCGTGGAGAGTTTGATCTTTAAGGAAAGCTACTATAAGTCGCATCCACGTATGTGTTCCTTTTACCTACATTACCTCTTTTCTTTTATCGGTAGAAGGTTCTTAGAGGTGTTCGATCAAAACAATCGTTAGTAGTTCCGAGTCCTTGCTACTAGCTAGCTTGGACAAGGCATTGACATGGGCATTTTCGACTCGTGGGATTTGAGCTAACTCGAATTTTTCAAAAGATGGAGCAGATCCATCGCCAATTTGAGGTACGTGGCCTTGCTCTCATCTTTTGTTATGAAGTTGCTATTAACTTGACTAACTATTAACTGGAAATCAATGTTAATTAGCTACCTCTTCACTTGCATTTCTTTAGCCAACCTTAACCCGGCCAATAATGTCTCATATTCAACCTTAGGGAGAGTTTGCATTGAGGGGGAGATGACAGTATTTCATGATAGTATTTAAAGTTTTGCTCTATTGAATGCTTAGTTTTTTTTTGAATTTTGATGTTTTGTGATATTAGTGTTTCAGTTAGTGTTTTGATTAATATCAGTATTACTTTTCAATCAAGCTAGCATATTTATGATAGTGTGTTTTAATTGATATATTTCTTGTTTCACGTGCTTTTACACTTGGTATTTGAGTTGTTGGTTTCAAGAAACAGGTTTCAAAGAATGCAAGAGTCGAACATTCAGTTTGAGTTTGGGTAGATTAGTTTTGTTTTTACTTCCTTGACTTGTATTATATAGTTTTATCACAGAATGTCAAAGGGAGAAATTGTTAGGACTTAAGTTGTATTGGCAATTCTTTAAACAAAATGATTATTATAAAAGAGTTGTAAAAATCAATGAGTTTTTTGGGATATTGTATGAATAAATTAGGAATCTTTGGGTTCGAGTATGGAACATGTAGAAAGAGTCGTCAAAATTATGCTAGATTGTCGCCAAATTGATGTTCGAACGAAAAATCAGAATCATTGTCTCCCATCTGTCACTGATTGTCGCTCGAGCAGCACACTTGTTTCTCGCCCGTCGCTCGAGTGACAGTATTTTTCGAGAAACTCTAATTTGCGATTTTAAGAGTTCTATATATCTTATACTACCCAAAAACCTCTTTTATAAATACTCAACGCCCATTACGTTTTTGGGTGGTGGTTGATTGTTATATTACATCCCCATAACATCATTCAATGATACAAGAACATATCCAAACATTGATATTAAACTTTTGATTTTTGAGATCAATCAACCACAAATTGGGAAAAACATCAAATTCAAACAATCCAAAACACTCACTTCCTAAATATAATTAAGAATGTACTTTCTCAATAACTTTCTGAGGTTGCTAAAGATTGAGGAAGGTTAGACCAGAAGCACAAGAAGAATACAAGAATAAGGTGCTTTTGGTGATCCACATGAGATATACAACTCCAAAAGATAGGGAGCATATGTGAGTAAAGCACGTTCTAGTTGGTCTTGAAGATTACAGGAATTAGATCAACGGGTCTAATGGATTTTTTAGGTTGGATTATACTGTAAGTTCCTATTGTCTATAGTGGAAGTTATTGGCTTAGTCCCAGAGTTTTTATCCAGTTAAGGGTCTTCTCCGTCAAGAAATCATGTGTTATTTACTACTTTATCTATTATTGTTGCGATTCAACATAGAATATATTTGACTTGAATGACTAAACATCTAGAACAATTAAAATGTGACTTGTTACGTTTAATTGGTAATTTTAATTTCGTGTTGTTCACTTTTTAGAGTCGAACTCGTAACTTACAGAACTCAAAAGACGGAACTTCTTTCCAAGTAAATTACAGAAGTCTTGCTTCAATCGTCCTAATTAATTTCATGTTTATCAATCTTTTAGAGTCACAAATGACATAGGAAAAAATTTAGGGCCCGTTTGGCAAGGTTTTTGAAAAGTCAAAAGTTGTTTTTGGAGCTAAGAAAATGCTCTTGGATTTGTTTGAATTCTTTTCTTTCAAGTGTTTAGTCTGGTTAGAAGAGCTTTAAGAGGAAGCTATTTTCTCAAGAAGCTCTTCTGCAAAAGCCGATTCTATCCCAAACAGGCCCTTAATCCTGTGTAGTATACCGTGCACAATTTTCTAACATGAGACCTGTACTTTTGATTCAGAAAATGGAGTAAAACACAATTCCAGTTGATGCCGGGGCTCAAATGAGCTATAATGGAGATAAAATTGCAGCATTTGCATCTGAATCTGATAACTTGAACACCTATGACAAACATGGAAGTGGCAGCTTTCATTTAGAAAGTGACGATATATCTCAAGAAAATGATGGTAAATCAAGAATAACAGCTCCATTGAGTGTCTATCATATGTATGAAGCAAAACTGGCTGGCCTTTTAAGCAAGAATGGCATTCTAGAACTAGAAGGGCAGTTAGCAGCTGCTTTGGCTAGTCGTGAAGCAGCCGAAAAGAATTTGTCATCTGCTCTCAAAAGTCGAAAGGAAATAGAAAACTAATTGATAGACATGATGAAAGAGGTTGAGTCGCTTAAAGAGAAGCTAGGTAGTGTAGAAATAGCTCAGGAAGAGTCCAATAGCCTGTCCAACATTGTTCATTCCGATAACGTAAGGCTCGAACATGACGTGGCTTTCCTCAAGGCTGTTTTGGACGATACACAAAAGCTATTATCGCTATGTGAACATAACTTACCCATCTTGTATTACTATTTTACCAACTTTACACCTTAATGTCGATGGTTAAAGTCCTCTGGTTCAACTGGCGTTTAATGCAGGAACTGCATTCAACCAGAGCAGTCCTTGCTAGAGAGCGAGCAAGAGCATTCCAATTACAGGTATAGCATCTATCTAAAAGTTTGAACGTCATAAAAAATCGGCATAAAATATAAATAACACGGGACAATTAGGTTGAACCACGGCTGAGAGGAAAAGTACACAGCATATTAGGCTCCCACACATCCAACATGTTCGACGAAAAAAGATATATAAAAGTAACGTTTAAGCTTCGCCAAACATGCTCCTGCTCGAAACTTCGTTACTGATTATCTGAATGATTTACAATGAACATCATAATTATGATTGCCACAGTTTTGCATTTCTTCATTTGTTTTCTGGTTTCTTGATCTATTTGGTTTTTACATTGCATTGCATCAACCTACAGGTCGAAGTTTTCCATCTAAAACAAAGATTGCAGCCCCTCGATAATCGAGTACCAACTCCAAGGAAGCCTTTCGACGTTTAGTTTATCGGCATATTTAGCTATCAATGTGTAGTACATATAGTAGCTTCTGGCCAGGTAAGACTTATTTGGGATCATTTCTGTGCTTGTAATTTTGGGTTATTTGAGAACAAGACATTTTGAAACTGCTTATGTAATGTTGAAGAGTTTATATAATCTATGTCCAGTCCCCAAATATTTCGACCCATTCGAACTCAACTAAACATGGAATTTCGTATTCATGTGAGAGGACACGCGGCAAATTAAATTTAAATAAAATTCTGTCAAATATTCTGAACCAAACATATACGAATGTATATGATTAACCATTATCAGGTCCAACATAATAACTTGCACTAAACTCTGTGTGATCGGTTTTATCTTTGGCCAGGACTTTTTGCTGATTACATGTACAGACAATTCTAGCACTCAACATCCACACACAGGAGTTCAAAGACTCCATGTTCATTTCTTGATTAAAAATCACTTGCTCTTAAACTGGATTCTTGAATTTCAAGATCACCCTGGCCTACCAAAAACACTGAATCTTCTGCTTGGAAATCATTTTTGCTGGTAATGCTCTGCGTGATTGGCAAGAACAGGAAGGAGAACATTGTTTCCAGTCTGAACTAGACGAAACCTTTCAACATTCATCATAATAGCTCAGCCTCTTCCTGGTCACCATCGGCATCGTCAACCTCGTTATCTTCATCTTCTTCGGGAGCATCAGGATCCACTCCCTGAAAAGTGATTGGTTGGTGCAAAAAGGATTTTCACTCAAAATTACACGCCGACATAATTTAATATGTAGAGAACAGCAGGTAATTTTTATTTAAATAATAATAATAATAATATATATATATATATCCCTGAATCCCTGATACAACATTGCATATATTGTGTACGTGTAAATGCTTGCATGAGTTGTTAGGGCAATACAAACCTTCATCTGTTTCTCTAAGCGTTCTAATCCTTTCTTGGCAGCTTCATTTTGGGCATTTATCCTGAAATGCGAATGAGAAATGTAACTAGCTGGAAAATCAATTTTATATTTTCATTTTATTGTTTTTATTCGATTTATTACTTATGTCAATATCTTAATACCACATCGTATAATTTAGAACTCCATTTTCCACAAAACCAGAGGGGTTTGCTACAACAAAGAAAAAGAGAATTACCGTAACGCTGCCTGATAATGTGAAAGGGCTTCTTGCAACATATTTGTAGCTGCAAACACTTGAGCAAGCTTAACGTGTAGAGAGTCGTCAGCCCAATCCTTTAGATAACGCTCAAGTAGAGAAACTGCATCTCCATTTCGACCTTCCATAACATGGAGTTCAGCCAAAGCCAATGCCGCTCCAAGAAAACCAGGTTCCAGCCTGAGGGCAGATTCATAAAACTTCTTTGCCTGCAGAAAGGTTAGTTCTATATTTATGAGATAATAAAGAGTATATACATCAAAGTTTCATTTTGAATGGGAAATAAGAACCTTATCAACATTCAAACTAATTGTCATTTGTGAATAGATTGTCATATGATTTAATCCACAAGATTCTGCAAGCCAATGTCTGACAATTTTCAATGAGCAATAGAAAATGTTATATACCTTCTCTCTGCCACTAGTGCTACTGGCATGCACATCCCCAACTAATTTTAGTGCCTTCGCTGACTGAGGCATGGCCTTCATTGCCTCTCTTGCAGCATGCAAAGCCTCTTTGATTTTTGCAAGTGCCAAATATGAACGGACTAAGCCTGTAACGTGTTTGAATTTTCAGTCATACAAAGCCATTCTTTTATTAAATGAACTCTTTTAGATAAAAGATATATCAAATTATTAGCTTAATTAAAGATAAAAGAACACACTGAATATCATTTAATCAATCTTTTGATTGTCTCATATAACAAACTGTAAGGACCCAAATTTTATAGAACTAAATATGAATCGTTACCAAAAGCTTTGTTTAAATTGTACCAGTTGACATGCAAATAGATTTAAATTTTATACAAGATTAAAAGAAATCAATCTACTGTTTAATCATTAAAGAATAAATTATTGTCAACCGCAGTAAGTCAAAATCTTGTTATTTATTTCATTTATTAAATAAAAGTTAACATGACAACATTATTATAATGTATTCTACTCTGCCAAAAAAATATATATGCATGGTCTTCATAATAATGTGTAATGTGCAGTACATTTCAGATTTATCTCTTACTTAACTAAGAAGTCATTTTAAAATACAAGTGAAGGATTAATCATATGGTAGTGGACGAACATGGCAGCATAAGGTTTAATTTATGAAATTTGATTTCTAGCAACTTTCTCATAATTGACTTATGACCCAATTAATTTCATTAATTAAACCAACTTAAGCATTCATATATGGCTCAACAAACGGACTTTATTAGATACAAATGTATCCTAAATTTTCAGTTCATGAAACATTCCAAATAAATACTAAAAGCCATGCGTATCACAATTATTAGAGGAACAATAAAATGCTGATTTCACCAATATTATTTAAGACATACTAAAATTTATAGCAAAATAAATAGTATTTCAAAATCTTAAATGAAAGAAAAAATAGTTTAAACGGGATAGATCACTGCACATCATTTCCTACCTTGTTAGATAAATTCTTGAAAGATGAAATTTCAAAAAATCACGTTCCAAATATTTCATTTGTTTCTGACTGCTACTTCTGTGCGTGTATATTCTGTTGTGTGAGTTCCAATATACTTGTATCTATATAATATACAATAACAACATATCCTATGGTTGGCATGTAGTGAGAAACGTGTAGGATAGGGGGAGTAAGTGGATAGTGGAATAAAACAGAAATGAAACCAAAACGGTTGGACCAAGTCTTTACAAAAAGGAAAACCGAACACGTGTCAAATCCTACCATATAATTCAAAATTTAAGAATAGTAAAATGAAACAAATGGGTACATTCTTCAACCACTCCAACCCACTAGTGACGTGGCCTCCATAATTCACTACTTCTTTCTTTTTTTGTGTGCGTGTTTATATATACACATAATCTTTACTTTTCAATTAATATCTTATCCAAAAGTTGCCACGTGTCACCCCTAAAATATTTAAATTCATTAAATAGCATAACTAAAGTATAACTTAGGACAATATCTTTCGATCCCGATAACTTAGGCTCATCCGAATTAACTTTTTCTCAAACCTAAAATATGCATTTAATTACGATCTATCCAATGAGAACAATATTAATATACTTATCATACTCGGTCAAAATCTAAATATACGACCCAAATAAAAATTTAAATTGCTATATATCATTCTAGTCCATAACTTTCAAAACATCAAAATATAGCACATAAAATTTAATTTCTATTCCATGAAAATTTTCGGGGCATTACACAAACCTTGATAGGAACGAAGGTCAGGCCGTAGTTCTTGGGCTCCTCTATAGGCAAGCACGGCTGCTTCTGGCTGATTCATCGACAAGAATAAATTCCCCTATATAGAATGAGAAATTGTGAGCTCAAAAGAAATTGTACTACAACTATATAAGCAATGAAATTGAAAATAGGAGATTAAGATTTTTAGTAGATTTTGATAAAAATTGATGAAACGTGCAGTCGAAAAATTGATAAAAGTTGTGGATCCTATGAAATATGTAGTTGAAAATGAGTTTGAAAAAAGTCTGTTTTAAAATGGGGGCAAAGACACCACCACAAGTGAGTATGAGACAGTTGGGGGGGGGCGGGCGCGAATAAAAAGTTGATGCATGTAAAAAGGACAAACTATGCAAATGAAAACTTAAAGTACGTTCGATGTTAAAAGTTGAGGATGTATTTCCTATAGGTATTAAAGGTTTAAGGACTAATTGTGCAGATTTTTCAAAAAAATAAAAAATAAAGAGTAAAATTTATAGTATGACTGATGGGATTCAAACCCAGGATGTTTGGAACCACAAAATGAAGCCTTTACCACTAAGCTATACACATATTATGCTATTCAGGTCAATAAACTAAAACTCAAATATTTAATGTGTTATATATACTGGAAAAATATTTAAAATGTTGCCAGGGCAGTCTCTGCCCCCTGTTTGGCCACCATTTTCAGAAACTCAATTTTACCCAAACTCATTTTCAATCACATTCTCCTAGTAAAATATTTTTGCACGTGGACCCATAACTTTTCCTACTTTTTAATTCTCCAAAAAAAAAAAAAAATCACTTATCACAAAATCTATTCTCAAAAAATTTCTACCAAACAGGGGTTTAGTCATACCTTCATTATATAACCAGCTACATGCCTCTCATCAATGCGGATGCCCTGACAAACAAGGATAGTTATTGAACAGTGAGTTTACACCATTTATATCAATGATCTGGTCTGCTAGAATTTAAAATCCTAACCTTTTCAGCATAGGATAAAGCTCCTCTATCATCTTTCTTTTCCCACAAAACAGACAGGGCCACAAAAACTTCAGGCCGTGTGGGATCAACGCTCAGGAGATCATGCACTAACTTATTTAACTTGGAACTATCTGACTTGAGCTTTAAAAGCATTGCATACTCGTCCATATATGTAACCACATATGGATCAATTGACCTAACCTGTAAAAATCAGGTTATGTAAAATTTCTGTCATACCAATATATTTTTGTGTTGGTACAAGTAGCACCTCATCTTACCTTCTCAAAATCCAAAATGGCTTCATCATTTTTTCCAATAACGGCTTTGACCTTCGGAAAACAATTTACCATAAATCAAGTGAAAAGATAACCATCAGCATTCTGGTATCCTCGAGGAAAGTGTAAATATATATAAGTGAAAGCAGTTGAAAGAATGATCATTCAAGCGATTTTTTCCTCATAAGCCCTTAAGATTAGGTTCTTTCAATTTATAAGACATCACAAGTTACCAGACTCATAGGTAGTCTTCTAGAATCCAGAAATTCCATTCGCTAACTTATGGACGTTCTCTTCATGTTTAACAAGTCTGGATTCGTTCTAGTGAAACTGTAACTAACCTTTGCCATTTCCAGTAATAAGTGTATGTTGTTAGGAAATCGTTGCAAAAGTTCAGTGAAAAGCTCCAGACCACCTACCAATCAGACAAAAAGAGAAGGTAAGGATGATAAGAGGACATAATGCAATCACGCAGGGAAAATATCTGATGTAGGACAATCCTATTGTAAATAGGACTAAGATTATATATTTATAATAAGATGTCTAGTTATAATAAGTTTTATCTTTTTAGTCTAATATTTTGTTTAGAATAAGATTTCTTTTCTTTATAGATTAAAATATGATTTCTAATTATATTAGGATTTTAGTTTATTTCCTTTCAGAGTTTAGTTTCCTTATATTAATAGAATTATGGAATAGTTTTGCTATAAATACAAGGGCATTGTACATTTTTCAACAACAATCAATTATTATTCAATATATACAAGACATGATTGTTCAAATATCGTTCTTATTTATTACATAATTCTTATTATAAAAATTTCATAAAATGCCTCCGCACCAATATCACTTCTAATTCTTTCCATGGAATAGAGTATGTAGAGATGTGGGTCAAGAACATCTATTGTCAAGGAACGTGCCTCTTCCAATGAAATATGGAATTTCACAATCATAGGAATTTTTAATGAATGACCAGCACTGCGAATAGTTTCCCCATACAATTTATGCGTACTTTAATGGGTATAATTGAAAGATATAAGTATTGTAGCGGCCATTAGGTCTAAATCGAGCGTCAATTTGGTTTTGCAGAACAAAACATTGCTACTACAACATAAAAATTGAATCAGACGTGCAGCTGTAATCATAAGAGTGCACATTGATTTATAGAAAACTGATGTTCATCCAGGCATTATCTGGAATAGGAAAAGGAAGATAAAATTCTAATCCGAAATCTAACCTTTGTAGTCGTTAGAAACAATGCAACATTGAGCTTCAACATAACGCTGCATGGAGACAAGACATGACATGTCAGTTACATTGCAAAAGAGAACAATGAGTACTTGATAGAAGCTCAATTGTTCCAGAAGACATAGGCACTGGCAAATGTTTGCCAAAATAAGTCTTCCATCTCATGTAGTTGACAAAATTTCCATTCCAAGGCGTCTCATGAAGAATATTGTTAACATTTTCACATAGATCCCAAATTCCCAACTCTAAGATAGTAATAGAAAATTGAGAAAAAATTGATGGCCACACATTCAAACTCATTTCATTTCACAATAGGCAGTAGAAAGCGCAGGGTATACTTGTGATTTGAAATTGTAGTAGTGAGATGTCAAACAGAATTATGACTAATATTGCTTTGATGTCAAATGTGCATGTCTTAAGGAAGAATAATTAATTCCATATGATGAGAAATGCTTTTCAAAGAAAATAATAATGAAAAGATCATACCAAACTTCACAAAAAAGTGTATCCAAAAGTGGAAAATAATGTTACAGCCCATATACCTGCAACCAGCGACTAGAATCAAAATGATCAAAGGGAGGTCTCCCACTTCTATTGGGTGTCTGAGACAATCAACAAAGAAAATCAGAAAGCATTAAAGTATAGAATTTGTTGTCTATCATTTTATTTTTTATTTTTGTAGAAATACCCAATAGCACAAACATTCGAGCAATTAATGATGGAATATGTGCTGCTGAGACATATATTTTCACTTAGAAAGTGAAAAAGTGAACCTCAACGTTTTCCAGCATAGTTGCAACCTATGCAAGGAATTCGGTAAAGCATCTTTAATTGATATTGAAAGAAATTTGTCAGCGTGCTTACAATGACTTGTTAATGTCATTAAGACCTTTTGTTATTGAAACAGAAACACAACCTGTTTACATTAAACAATAGCTTTCTGAAACTAGCAGCTATGGCACGACACGACGTAGACATATTAACACTACATTTTGGAGTCACACAATAAATTAGCTTTAAGCTGAACATGGAAAGTATTTGAAGTTAATCTTGGTGAGTACATATAAAGCAAATAGACCAATGGAAGTGTAGCTATCTATTTATTACGTTTCCACGTGAAGTTTATGTGCTGAACAATTATTTGGTTATATCCCAGACAAATTATACTTAAAATGATAATAGTTTTAGCCTTTATTGGTACAACCAAGCCAAGGGGCATAATAGTTTAGACCCTACTTTATAAGAGGGAAATTGAAATCAACAGCAGTTCACGCAGGGCAAATCCAATTCTTTCTGGAGATGTCTAGGCTCAGGATCCACATTATTGGAAAAATTTCTAGCTGTAGCAAGAAATAGTTCAGGATGACATAACTGTTGCATGCCTTTAATTAGTACTAGTTTCATACTCAAAACAGAAGCACACTTTTCAAAAGAAATGAGAATAGTAACATAACATAACATAATCAGTGCTGTATATAGAGTTAATTAACGAAATAAACCTGTGGAAATAGTGAAATAATATCCTTGGCAGCAACGCCCAGTTCAGCTAAGGCTATAATAGCTTCAATTATGAAAGGGCACTGCCTGTGAACAAAAATATAAAAATACTGATCATATTAATGAAATGTGGTTCATTATGTCCCGGGAGTTTGCACATTGAGATTCTAATAACCTCATCCAAAACACAAGGTTCAAGAATGGCAATTTTGCAAACAGACACAAAATTTAAGATTGAAAGTAAACCAAACTTGTACAATATGCCAACAAAATTATATATGATGTGAAAAAGCAGGAATTTGCAAACAAATATATATTTTAGAGTTTTTTTTATTATTTATATGAAAGCAATTAGTTTAATCCAAATTTGATTCCAAAGGCCAATCGTCTGGGCAAGGAACATCTAACCATTCTGATTAAAATGCAAGTTACTTCCCAATATTGCATCACACACTCAGTTGCATTCCCTATTTTGCTTCCTTCACAAGTCAGGAAAGCAGAACCATATAGACAGAAATATATCAGGCCAGTCACCCCCGAGTTAACTCAGAATGCTAATAGATTATGACATCTTCACTGAATACCAACATGGCAACATGACAGACCTCAAACACTCCTTATAACAGCCAATAGCGGAGCGAGTATGCCTAGAATTTCGGTAAAGCTTTGCCATCATAAGGCTCATCTCTAAATTCCTTGATTTGGTTGGAATTCCTTCCATCTGTTTAACATGAGGAAAATGAAGTCAATGTTCAGTTTAAAAAGATGCGACTCATTATGGAAGTTTATGCATGACATCAGACTACAGCATATGATGAAACTATGAAAATATAAATATACATAGAAATACATTCGAGGAAAGTTATAAATTTATTTATCCATTAAAAGATTTTCCTCACCCAGAAGAGTTAAATCATAGAAAAAAATCAAGAAAATGGACTAAGGACAAAAGCATTAATCACAAACCTCAGCCAGAGCAGCTCTATTCTCACTTAGTGAGCTGTGACATGTTGCAATCTTGAACTTCACCTTTATTGATATGATAGAGAAGAGAATTAACCCATTTAAGATAATTAATTTTTAGGGTTACAAAATGTGCAAGAGAAAATGATGCTACTGAGCACGGTATCTGAATTACCTCATTTTCATTTATTCCAGAAATGCTAGCAGAATTTGGAGAAGAAGACCTGTTTGATGCGGACAGTGAGCTCCTAGTCATTGGTGGTGTTACTGCACTTTGCTTTGGAATTATTTTATGGTATTGCAATGCTTGCTTATATGCTTGCTGCCCGTAAAAGAAATAAAAACTGAATTACTAGTCCAACTCCATTTTTATTGAGCCGAGTTTAAAACAAGTTCTCCATTAGTTACAAAAGAAACGAAAAAGATCCATAGAACAAAAGCCCTGATCCCATACATTACAAAGTACAAAAATTTGCATATATATATAATTGAATATGTTTGATATCTTACAATTGCTCTTCGGTACTCCTTTTCTCGAAAAAGTGCATCACCAAATTGCACCTGCAAAAGAATCAGCGGACATAATTTTCAAACAGTTCCAAAACAAATGCACTGACAGTAAATAAAAACTTAGAAAACAAAAAACTACTAACCAAGCTTTCAGCTTTAAGATGAGGGCTGTTCTCTGGATTTATTGAAGTGGATGAAACAGCAAAGCAACCCTAATCCATCTCAAAAATACACATTAATTTCAAAAATTGAAATCAATTAAATAATTATCCAGGTAAAAATGGAGGATTCTTACAAGAATTTGCGCTGAAGAAAAGAGACCGTGCTCTAGCAGAGTAGAAAATTGGTCCTTTGGTACATCCATTTTGCTCTGGATTTCGTATACGTGCGTAGACAGTAGGAGAGTAGAGAGTGCAGTGGGGTTTGAATCAACTGGGGAGATTTCGAGCGGAATTTGTTCAAATAACAAAATTGAAATTTATTAGAAATACCATACGAGTATGGTGTGCCTTAAGGCATTGAAGAATTTCTTCTTTACATCGAGTTATTTATTGATGCATAAATTAGTACATATCATTCAATTTGACAGTATAAAAACAAGAGGTTTGTAGAAGGTCTGAAGGAGGCAGTTGCATTTCGATACGTAAATCACATATTTAGAGTGTGTTTGGGACACGTTCTTTTAAAAGAATGTATTATTGAATAGTAGATTGATGGAAAATGTGTGATTAAAAATAAAGGAAAAGTTATTGATGTGATGGAAAATATTATTTTATTGAAAAATGTGATTGAAAATGAGTAGAAGAATGAGAATGAAAAAAAAATAATGTGTACCAAACAAGACATTAGTGATAGATTTTTAACTTGGTGATGACTTGAATCATTCAACTCGACACGAGTTGCAGCAGTGGGTATCACATTTTTCTAGCCATGTGATTCGATAGATTATGAACGTCTTGACTAAGTGAATCATCTCCAAATCAAGAGTCTGAAGTAGATGATTTTGTCATCAAACTCAATTATCGAGTCAACATTTTACTAAAATAACAACTTTACCTTGAGAGAAAGAAAGTCTAACATATACTTGTCTTCTTTATTAACACTCATTTTGCTCAACACCCCTCATCCCTACCTCGCTCACCCACCAATCAAACCTTCCATGTTACGTTGAAGTGTTACGCCATTTACCCTACCTCGATCAACCACCAATCAAAACTTCCATGTTACGTTGAAGTGTTACGCCATTTCGATACATAAATCAACGTATTTAGTGATAGATTTTTAACCTAGTGAAAACTTGAATCATTCAACCCGACACAAGTTACAGCAGTGGGTATTACATTTTTCAAGCCCTGTGATTCAATAGATTATAAATATCTTGACTAAGCGAATCATCTCCAAATCAAGAGTCTAAAGTAGACGATTTAGTCTTCGAAGGCAATTACCAAGTCAACATTTTACTAAAATAACAACTTTACCTTGAGAGAAAGAAAGCCTAACATACACTTGTCTTCTTTATTTACACTCATTTTGCTCAACCCACCTCATCCCTACCTCGATCAACCACCACCCAGCACTTCCATGTTATCTTGAATAATTTACACAATCTTACACGTAAATGGGAATTAAATTTGGGATTTTTCACCATTTGCTGGTTTTTAATATTTCGGTAATGGTAGAATCCGACAGTGATCTAATTGCATCAAATTGAAGATTAGTGACTAAATTTGCAAGAAAATAAAAGTTATGCCCCCGTTTGACACCCATTCTTTTCCCATTCTCTTTCTCATTTTTTTCTCATTCTTCATTTCAACCACACATTCTATCAATAAAATAATATTACACATAAACCCAAAAAATCTTCTTACTTTTTAACCACACATTCTTTACATCAATCATTATTCAAAAACTCATTCTTCAAAATAATGGGTGTCAAACGGGGGCTA